CGCCCCTGAGCGCGACCACGGCCCCTGCCGCTCTCGAGGGGCTCGCCCGGGCACGGCCGCGGCCAGGCGGGTTGTGTTGGGTTCTTCGCCCTGCACCGTGCCTTTCCGCACGTTGGGCACTTCGGCAGCGAGAGCGGCCCCTCGGTGTCCCGAGGCCTGCCGTGGCCGTGCCCGGAGGGGGGCGCTCAGATTTCGGGGTGTGACTCTGGGCCCCCTTTGACTGTAACACAACGGGATTCGCAGGAACCGACTGTGTGGCTTGTTCCCGGCGCTGGGCCCGGCCCCCCCCGCCCCCCGCCTGGCTCGGGTCCTGGCTGGGCTTGAGCTTCAGGGCGCAGACACCCCTTCCCACCAGCCACCCCGCCCTCCACCCTGTGCCTGCCTAGCCCGCACGGTGAGGTGCCTGCAGCTGGTGCCTGCAGCTGGCTGGCGGGACGGAGGGGCCCGGGACCCAGCCTCGGTGCTCCCCAAGGCCGGCAGGGCGGGGCCGCTTGGCCACGCCTGCCCCCGGGGCCAGCCCGCTGCCTCGGAGGCTCGCTCGGTGCCCAGGTATCTGTCCGGGTGCCCCAAGCAGCCGGCAGGCTGGAAGTGCTCCCCGGTGCTGCTCACAGCGAACCGCGGCCGCCCAGTGCCCGCTAGCGCCACCGTCCAAGGGAGACTGAGTCCCAGAATTCAGACTGTGGTTTCTGTTCCAAGGTAGCGACTCGGAGAGGCGGCACCTTGTGCTCCCAGGATGCTCGGCTCGAGCCCCAGGAGACAGCGGGGTCTCCGGGCCGGGGGCGGGGCCGCAGCCCTCGCATCCCTGGGTGCAGGGCCGCGTCTGTGCAGGGGCCAGCTGGCCGGCCACAGCGGGACACGCACTCAGGGCTGTGTGACCACGAGGCCCGCCCACCTCCATCCGAGCGGCCGCCTCTGCGGGGGCTCGCCGCAGGACGTTCACCCCTCCCCCTTGTCACGGGGCCAGGAGGGGCTGGACCCACTGAGCTAACGACGCAGGTGTCTCGCTGACCAGAAGCCCCTCGGGCCCCAGGAGGGTTGCGACGTAAGGCCCGAGCTGTGCGGAACGGCGGGCGGCCTGCGCACTCACGTGTGGCCGCGCCG